TTAGGAGTCTTTTCAGAAATTATCAAGCCAAACCTAATAAATATTTTTCAAAAAATTTCTCAACAAAATATTTAAAATGATCTTATTTAATTAATAAAGAGTATATACATGTTTCTAAGAAACATCAAGCTTGAGAGAGCAGTCAATTTTTAGAAAATTTTCTTAAGAAAATTAATCTTCTTAACATTACGGGTATAAGAATTCAGAGAAGTGAAACTTTCTACCATCTTATTCAATTATTAATAAGTATTGAATTAAAAGAAGAATAAAAAAAAAAAAAAACGTTTTTAAAATTTGAAGAAAAAAATTATGTTCTTTCATAAGTATAATTCCCAATTCGAGTAGGAAGAAGCTAATTAATATTTTGGAAAATTTTAAATGCTTCCAAAACTTTATTCAATGAAACCTAATTAAATGAGAATAACAATTTTTTTAGAAAAATTTAATTCGGAGATAGCAATTAAAATTTCAGAATCTTATTTACATAAGATATCTTAATATTTGTTATACGAGATGGCTTTTTAAATTATTCTTTTCTGAACATATTTTTTCCTAAGAAGAAGGTTTTCAAAGATATACAGTACGGAACCCGTTATCCGGAAGTCAGAAAACCGGAAAACCAAAAAACCGGAACGAATTTCGATAAATTTTCCCGCCATTTAAAACAAAACAAAATTTTTTTTTCCTCATAAGATTTTAGGATTTTTCATTCTTTTTTGAAAGATGTTTACCTTACCATCATTTTGAAAATAATCATTAGTGAATTACTTCATCGTTTTTTCTTCCTTTTAAGATTATTTCCAAATATTATTTTTTTTAGTTGGGTTTAACAATAAAAAAAACGGCTTTTTGTAGCGATTCAGAAAAACCGGAAAAATCAGTTATCCGGAATAGGGATGGTCCCGATCGTTCCGGATAATCGGTTCCCTAGTGTACTACACTAATTGCCCCAGGACTTCAAGGTAGGACAGGTTGTTGTAAAAGTCCTTATCTGAAATAAAGTCGCCCAACTTAATCAGTCCTGTGCTCCCACGTAATATCATCTTAGTCGCCCCCGATCGATAGCGGAGACATACCTCTGCAGATACGACATTTGGAATTTGTATTTACTCAATAAGAGAAGAACTTTGTTCCTTTTGCACCATTTCCTGACAACCACGCCTCAGGAATTTGATGAACATAGCTTTTCTTACCTTTAAATGAAAAAAGAAAAAAAGAAGAACGGTACTCAATGTTTTATCGATAAGTTATCACGGATACGATATAAAAAATTGAATCATCTTACGCGTATTATTTTTAAAAATCGAACCATTTAATTCATCTAATTTAAAGAAAGATAATGTATATAATTTATAACCATCGTTGAACAGCCGACCCAATTTTTGGGTTTACGACTGCTAACGTTCAACTCCGTAGCCTTGTAATTTTGAACTGATTCCAAAAGACAAGGGAACTCTTGGATCAAGTATTGGGAGAAATTTGTCTTCGTGGAAAACTTTTTGATGAATTACATTGAGAGAAAACCTCCCACGTTTAGCCTGACGGCAAAGGAACTCTAACCCATAATCCGTCTACCACTGAGGATATTTTACGTCAGCACTTTGGTCTGCGTGAACCGGATGTGGAATTCGTATCGACCAGCCATCGCTAGGATTTGAACCCGGGTCACCTCATTGGAAGACGAACGCTCTATTCCCCCCCCCCCCAAAAAAAAAATTTAAAATAAGAGCACATACTGTGCATTTTCAACAACAAAAACGGCGCGATTGGCAACTATTTAAGCACTCTTTGCCCCATATTATGCAGTGCTACCTATATAATGTATATAATTAGAATTATATAGGCAGCACTACATAATACGGGCCAAAGAGTGACTAAATATAACAATGGAGATTAAAAAATTGTTTGCCTATCACTCCGTTTTTGCTGTCGAAAATACATCACTTGTGCTTTTATTATAATTTTTTTTAATAAACATGGAATTATTATGAATATCACATAATAGTATTTTAAAATTACTTTATTAAGCTTCATGTTTAGTTCGAAAAAAAATTTCATTTTAGAATTGTAACGATTATCATATCTTGGAAAATGCTTTTAAAGAAATTTCTTATACTCGTATTATAAGCAGTTTCTTTAATCGATAAAATTTTTAAAATTTTTCTGACAAATTTTTTTTTATTTTGTATTCTATTTCTATACAACATCAGGGTTGGCAGGTTTTTGACATGTGNTGTCAAAAACCACTTTTTGACGTCAAAAACCCAACCCTGTACAACATAATGCATTGAAATTTAAATGTTGTTAGTATTATTAGATAAATAAATACAATTAGCATTTGTAGATTGGGGACAGAGGCATCCAGCCAAAAGGAGCATAAATTCAATCACTAAATCTTCCAATATTAAACTATTATTTAAGTTATGAAATTTAATTACTTGTCACTTGAATATGAAACAAAATATTTAATGAAGAATAATCTGAGATTTTCAAAAAATTAAATGATAAAGCTTTAGGTTATATAAAAATATAAATATTCTTCACATTTGAGAAAAATCTGATGAATTACTTCGTTAAAAATCATAAATTTTTCAACCATAGTAGAAATTCTGCGTAAAATTTATATTAAATTTTGAATTTGGATTATTAGAATAATGCATCATTCTGGTGTTTTGAATAGAAATGGTTTAAAATTTAACAAAATTAAGTTTTGAGTTAGAATTAGATTTAGAATTTTTAATTTATACTCTCATATATATATATTATATATAGATTTTCAAAGCTACTGTTATCTTAATGAATTTTAAAGGATGTGGTAAATCTTTAATAACAAAAACAAATTGTTAATTTGTACTTTTTTTTAATCTAAAAAAACTTTCTTCATAGACAGTTGAATCGATAATAATAATTATAGATTACCAACTGTTGATTCTTCCCATCTAGAAAATTATTGCAATAAAATTTTTTTAAAAAATCACTTAATTTTTTACTCAATTTCTGTCACTCCCCACCCAAAATTTGTTTTGTACTAGTTACTTCCAATATTATTTTCAATATTACAGCATTAATATCTATATTTAGAATTTATATAAAAAAATGAATTCAAAACTTTCAACACATTCAGTTCGCAAATTAATATTTAAGCGGAAAAAATAACCTTATAATAATCTGATAAAACACTTTTGAAGAAGGCTTGATTAAACACACCAAAATCAGCTTGATTTCTTGATGAAACTTGAAAGTGTTTATTATAGTTGTATACTAATTCCTCTCTATGTGTTTTAATGTTTTTAAACTCGTTGTTCACGTTAATGGTTCGTAAGGTTTTGACAATGTTTTTCTATTTTTCAATCTAAATACACAATATAATTAAATATGGTAATTCATTAAAAATAGTATTTCATATTTCAAATAACAATATAGTAAATATTAATAATACGATATATTTCATCCATCAAAATTTTAAAGTCTGTTTACAATTATCACAAAATCTGATGATATTATGTCCCAAAATACATTTTTTCATAAATTCTCTTGAAATCATCTTCTTCATTAATTACTTAAGTTCAAAACTTTTAACTATTTCCCCCTTTACCCGAAAAAAACTTTTAAGAGTTTATTTCGAAATATTAAAACCATTATTTCAATGAAATTTATACGTATTAAGTAAGAATTTTTTTACTCTTATGAACAGGGTAAAAGAATTAAGAATTGGGTGTTCAGATCTTGAAATATAAAGCAACAAACAATAGTATAATTACAAAAAAAAAAAAAAAAAAAAAAAAAAAAAAAAAAAANTCATGTCAAAAACCACTTTTTGACGTCAAAAACCCAACCCTGATACAAACTGAAAACTGAATTCGAAATTAGTAGAAGAAATGCATTTGATCAAAATATTTTCCAAACAATCGTGAAAACATGAATAAGTATTGTTATTTAAATTTTCAATCAATTATTTTTGTTTGAGGATATTGAACCTCATTGCCCACATCTACCGAATTAATGCAATACGGATAAACCACTTTTCATATCATTTTTGAAAACGAAATTCTTCTATTAAATTCTCAGTTGCATTTTATTCGGTTAAGATTTTCAATTGTGTAACATTTAATTACAGGATGACTTTGGATTTAAGTGGCATACAACTCTGACATATTCTGATTTTTTTAACAAAAATAGTCGAAGTTAATTTTAACCTAGATGATTCCACAGAAAAAAAGGGAGTAAGTCAAAAAAATATGTAAATGTGATTCTATATTAAGATAATTCTTTTTTAGGGGAACTGCTATTAAAAGGAAACTACTACTTAAGGGGAACTGCTATTAAAAGGAAACTACTACTTAAGGGGAACTACTATTATTGAACAATTACTTTAATAATTCGTAATGTAATGCATCTTGAGTTAAAACATTCCTCTTTAGATTTCATATTTTAAACGGAACTCCTTTGTTAAAAAAATATGCATAAAAAGTTTTAAATCGAAAAGTATAAGAGATTAGATATATTATAACATATTTTATAAGTCACAATAGCATCTAATAAACTATAATATGTAAAGGAAAAAATGTAAACTTGTACGCTCAGTGATGTTACGTTTTAAAATATTTACCAATATCAAGACCTACTTCAAATTTACTGTAAATTATAACAACATGTTGCAACAAGAAATAGAAAATAAATTGTGAATGAAGCTGAAGCGACGAAAACTATCATAAAACTTCCTCCAAGTGGAATATTGCTTCTCATTTTAAGAATAAATAATTTTATTACAAAACGAATTTCAAATTCATTTTTAGTAACAAAAAAAAGTATTAATGATACACTTTAACAAAAAAAAATCTAAAGCAATAGTATTATTCATGTTAGAGAAATAATGAATGTGAAATGAGCAAGGATATAATATCAAGCGATAAAAAAAAAATTTATTTTAAAAAGCGAACGATAATGAAATTTCAATTTCGTAAAAATGTAATAAATATTTAAAATTTGTTTTTACTTACACACTCGTCCTCTGGCCATTTTCATCAATTATTTGATGTTGAGCTACAGAATATCCAAAATAGGAATTTTCAGGTCCCTTTTTAATTACAGGTAAACGGGTTTCTAAATTAAAACAATTTATATAGTTTAAAGTGGCAACAGTCAATATCAGTGTTAAAAACTGAATAAAGTTCGTCGGTAACATTTTCGTATTTCTATTTTATTTCTGTTTGATATGTGTTTTTATAAACAGCTGTCACAGGTGAATGCAAGCACGTGGGTTAAACAACAACGGGAGATGCCGCACGATCTCCGCTCCTCTACTCAACCCGACTTCGGAAGATGGAATGAATGGACAAACATTCCAGCCAAAGCATGGTTAGAGTTTGCACTGCTGTTTATAGATGGCGCCACTACTGTTCGCGAGGAGTGCTTTTGAAATTGAATGAATGCCGTCTTCTCCCTCTTTTGTGTGATATTGAATGGAGTGGGTGGGACTCTGACAAATCGGAAAAAATTGAAGGATTGAATTCCTTTATTAAGTTTTTCTCGTGTTAGAGATCGAAGACTGAATTCTAGTTTGGTTGAAGCTGTCGCAAGTAATTTAGTGTTTTCGAATATCAAAGCTCCATGATTTTTTTTATTAAAATCTAAGGAACAAAAAATGAATTCCCAATTCAATGTTTTTAAGATATTATTTTAATACTGATAAACATTTTATGATAACAATTTTTAAAAAATTGACACTTCACTCCGATGCGTTTTCCGTTTTAAAAAATTTCATTTATATCCAAGAAATCAGTAATAAAGGAATTAAAAAAATATTTCCTTTAATGAAAAATGTGTTTAATAAAATAAAATAAATTTTTAAATACGAAAACACCTTTTAAAAAAAATTTTTTTTAATAATTTAATTTTTCATAGTTTGTAATGAATATAAATCGGGAATAACAAGTTTCTTTCATGGTGGAAAAATCGATGCACAAACAGTTTTTCAGTGGAAAAAATGAAAAAAAAAAAAAAAAAAAGNAAAAAAAAAAAAAAAGCTCTTTAAAAATTAAATATAAAATTTATTAAACAAAATAAATATTTTAAAATGCATTTTTAAATATCAGGTATTTATTTTAAATAGTTAATGTAATTGTTTTTGAAAAAAATGCTTTCAATATATAATCTTCTCATTTATTCATTTTATTATTTATTAATTATATCTATTTATTTTATTTATTAATTTTTTATTCATTAATCTTTTATTCATTAATCTTTTATTCATTAATTTTTTATTCATCAATTTTTTATTTATTAATTTTATTTATTTATTTATGTTTAAACAATTTTTTTATAATTTTTATCGCTAAACAATTGTATTAGAGCGATGAAAACTTGCTCCGCTTTGTAGACAATTTCATTTCTTCTGGTAGAAAAATTTATGTTTGCATATGTTTAGCAAAGTTTATGAATGATTTTTTGATTCAGAAAGTTTGATTTAAAATTATTCTATCCACCACTACGTATAAATAAGTCTTTATAAAATGCAACTTTTTCTTCCAGAAACCACGGTATGAAATTTTCAAGATGTCAGTTGAATTAACTGAAATCCTGCAAGTTTTAGTTTTTAATTCTCTACCACTTTTTAAAATTTTTCGAAAAACGAGAATCAATTGGCATCCCTGGTTATGGTCATGTTTCAACGACAACAATATTGAAAGTTCTATCAAGCGTTTCCTCACGTAGACTATCAACCGGTATCCAGTTCTATAGCCACACATAGTTTGAAGCAAGCTGCTTTGTTTTATTTTCATTATTTTTATTTATTCAAGCAAGATGTTTGAATCCCCCTCATAGCTACCACACTGCCTACTGACCACAAAGAACTCACACAATGCTAAATAACTCTCGATGGATCGGATAGGGGGTGCTTCGCGGCCCAGGTGCCCAGCTAGCATAGCTAAAGAAGAAGTTATGGTCATGTTTAGTGTCTTTTATTTCGCCCAATTTCTTCCGGGTTTCTTTTTTTTTTCTTTTCGAGTTTCTTTCAGTGCACTGAAAGAAATAGGTTTTTGCAAGAAGAAATCCCAACCCTGTAAATTATCCAACCTTGTAAATTCTATTAATTTCATTTTATAATAATTAATGTTTTCTTTTCCAACGTGTCGCCCATTAGCATTGACGCATCGAATGTCTCGTATTAGTTCCAATTCTTCCATTATGCTTTATAAGAGCCGTGGTGGCTTAAGGAATAGAGGCTCGCCTTCCAATGAGGTGACCTGAGTTCGAATCCCAGGGATGGCTGGTCCATACGAATTCCGCAACCGGTTTGCACCGACCGCAGTGCTGGCGTAAAATATCTTCAGTGGTAGACGGATAAGGGGATTGTGTCCCCTTGCCGTGGAAGATTTTCGTGATTTTCCTCTCCATGTAACGCAGATGCGGATTAGTTCCATCAAAATGTCCTCCACGAAGGCAAATTTCTCCCAATGCGTTATCCAGGAGTTCCCTTGTCTTTTGGATAGAGTTCAAAATAGCAGAACTACGGGGTTGAACATTGGTAGTCGTTAATTGAGTTGACTGTTCGGTTATAAAATATTAAATATATGCCTTTATAACAACAAAAAACTGTGTTTATTTATTGAAATTCATTAATAATGACATTTAGTACCTCATATTTGCCCCAATTGTCCTTCTATGCTTTATAAAAGCTACAAACTGTATCGATTTTAGGAAATCCATTAACCTTGGCACATTAAGTGTCCTGATCTGGTCCGAATTGTTTCCTTTTTCTTTTATAACAGGAACAAACTGCGTTAGTTTAAATACTACTGCTCTTCCAAATTTTATTAATTTCATCCCTAATTTCACAAAAATACTTAATTTAATTCATGGCAATAAGCCTTTCTTTCTTTTAATTTTAAAAAAGAAATTTAGTAATAAACTACCACTCCTTTTTTTTTTAAATGTAATGACTACAAGCTGCTTTCGAAATGTAATCACTATTTCACTACTTTTAGGAAAAGAACTTCGCTTCAGAATTCATTTTATCCCCCTGCTCTAAGTGGCTCTGAATAATAAACTCTGGTGTAGTTATTTTGTAACACGAGGAATTACTAAGAAATATTTATTCATGTTTTCGTCAGCCATTTTTTTTTCACGAATTTATTCTTTAACCTTCAACTTTTTATTCCTTTTTCAGCAGCAATAAATATTCAAAATATTTAATTTAAGAAATGCTAGAAAATTATCAAATATTTGCGATTTTGTTAAGTGTTTAACTCTCTTTTATTTCTTTAAGAAACAAAATGCAATGCAGAAAAAAAATATTAAACACCTTAAATAACTTTCGATAACCTTAAATAATGATCAGAATTTCATGTACTAGAACTTAGTCTTAATGGTTTGAGGGGGTGGGTCTTTAAATATGCTAATTAATTAGTGCAAAGGACATTTTAAGTTACGAAATCAGACATAAAAACGTACTTCTACTAAATAAACACAACTTTTATTTAACGATATGATTTCTACCCCCAATAAATAGGGGATGAGAGCGGTTGAAAGTTTGGACCTGCTTGTTTAACTCTTTGCGTATTTCCACGAGAGCTTTTTAGGCGAATTGAAAAATTTTAGCACACAATTTTAAAATTCGCTTATCTAAGGAGTATCTCAAGCAATTAACAGTTTTAAACAATTACTTAATTTTTTTTATTATTTTTCATTTATTATTTACTCAAACTTTGGAACGCTCTCCTGATCAAACTATTGGCACCATATATTCCTAATTGTGGCTACCCCCTATATTTTAAGGGTCAGGAGTAGGACTGGGCGATATTAGAAATTATATATCGTGATGCATCGTCAGTTTTGCATCGGCTGTGGAAGACGAT